CTGGTTTCGATCATCGCTTTCCAAAACACTTGTTTTTATTCAAGCTTTGAAGGCAACACATGGGGGGATAAACTCGTTCCATGTTTCTGTCTTTACATATAAAGCCACGTAAGTGCTCCTGCCTGTACCTAAACCCCATGTTTAAAGTGGTTTCGTTTAAACAAGTTTTTCTGCATTTTAATTGCATCCCAACTCCCAGGATATTCCGTGTGACACAAGTTAGATTAAAAAAAATTTAATAAGAAAGCACCATTCTGTTTTTGCACTTTACCATAGAAAATGGTAAGCCTAATTACGAGGATATTAAGCATTCTAGCAGCTTAAATTACGAGGCTATTAAGCTTTGTGGCTGCTTAAGCAGATATTTTCCTCGTTATCACACGCACAGGTTCGACATCTATGCCAGCTCTTGGTTTTGGTTGCAGTCAACATGTCTTAAGGGGTCTTATCCGGTAAGGATCAAGCACTCAAGAAAAAAAACAAACCAACCTATAAATGCAAAACTGGATTAAAAATAATTATTTCAATGAAGGTTTCCTGCTTTTCCATGCTGGTCCTCAGCATGGCATTTCTCTGTAGATACCTGAGTGGTTTTGGAGCTTGTACACAGTTATTTACCAGCTTTGTCCTGTATTAACTCCTTACAAGTGGGGATCCAGCATGAATGACATGAAATACTTGTTTTCTCTTCCTCCTCATGGGCACTATGAAAGTGAACATGTGCTCTCACAGATGGAAATCGCCGTCTCCTGAAATAACACGCAGCTAAACGCCGAACTAAATACTCACGGGTAAGAGTGCTTTGAGCTTGATTTCGACAGATAATTATTTCCATTAGTGCCTCTTCAAAAGAGGAGTTAAGGACAACAACAAGAAAAAAAAGGCAGCACTTTTTTTAACCAACAAAACAACAAAGCGACAGAACAAAGAGCATTTTAAAAAGCAACTTGGTTTTGTCTCAACTTTTTAGATGCATCAGCGGGGCCCCAACAGGCACAAAACCAGCTCCCCTGGGACTGCGCTTGTCAGAATCACAGAACGGGGCTGGTCAGGGCGGCAGGACCCCAGGGCCCCGCGTGTGAGGCGGAGGTGTGGAAATAAACATGCGTGTGGGCCAGCCACAGTGGGGGTTGGAAGGGACCTCTGGAGATGATCTAGTCCAACCCCCTGCTAAAGCAGGGTCACCCAGAGCAGGTCACACAGGAACGCGTCCAGGCGGGTTTTGAATATCTCTGGGGAAGGAGACTCCACAGCCTCCCTGGGCAGCCTGTTCCAGTGCCCTGCCACCCTCAGAGTAAAGAAGTGTTTCCTCATGTTGAGCTGAAACTTCCTGTGCTCCAGTTTGTGCCCGTTGCCCCTTGTCCTATCACTGGGCACTGCTGAAAAGAGCCTGGCCTCATCCTCTTGACACCCACCCTTTAGATATTTATAAGTGTTGATAAGGTCCCCTCTCAGTCTTCTCTTCTCCAGGCTAA